ATTAGACCAACGAAGTTGTTTATCCGCAGTGGTGGTAAGACACAAGTTAAGTTCCAATCGAGCCTGGTCAAGTTTAAGTAACAAATCAGAACTGGGATTTTGCTTATGTTGAGCAGCCAGGTCAGTGTACGACCGAGTTTTAGTAGCAAGTAGGTCATTTCGGGCTTTTTTTAAACAAGAAGAGAGTTGAATAATATATCCCCTGACTGAGGCCTTATGAGCAGCCCAATTAATCGCCGGGTTCGTGTCCTCAGGTTTATTAAAGTCAAAAAATAGTTGTAGGTGTGAGGAGATTTCCCGACAATGAAAGGGATTACTCAGAATAGAGTCATTAAGACCCCAATGAAAAGCTGTCTTACCAGGAGTCCCAGACGACAAGGTGATAGGAACCGGGTCGTGGTCAGACCAGGGCGTGGAAAAGATTTTTAGCAGTAACCAGTTTGGGGAGTGAATATGTATGAAGGAAAATATGATCAATGCGAGAATAACTATTATGAGCCCTGGAGTAGTGGGAGTAGTCTCGAGAAGTAGGATTAGCCTCCCTCCATGCATCAATGAAGTCATAGCGATAGATAAGTTGAGCCAATTTACGGCTCCGTCTAGAAGGAGGCTGAAGCGTGGCGGTCTGGGAACGATCCAAAGTCTGGTCCAATGCTAGGTTAGAGTCACCAGCTAGAATAACGTCACCCTCAAATTCTCGGACCAGAGTACTTAGCATAGATTGGAAAAATTCAGCAGCTATTTCACTGCTCAAGGGCGAGGATGCAGGGGAGTCATGGCTCAAAGAACAGGCCAAAGCCTGGGACTCCAGTAGCACAGGGCTGGAGGATGACTGGGGGGGCTGCGGAGAGTCACTCACCCCAGCTGATGATGCTGCTACAGCCCCTCCTGGACCAGCGTGGGAGGAGGAGCCCATCTTCTCCCTCTGAGGGAGAGGTGCTGCCGTGAGAGAGAGGCAGAGGAGGCACCAGGAGCCGCAGGCGCCGATCCGGCCGCCATCTTAGGTCCTCCAGTCCCGGCAGGGAGAGCCGCCTCTGGGAGCCACCACGGCTTTTCACCGCCGTTTTTTCCGGGCATGGTGACAGGCACCCGAGGTCTGGATCAAGGTAGGGGGGGACCCGGGAGTGAAACAGCGCTATGCTCTTATACGGGCTGCTGTCAGTGCCGGGGATGTGCTGAGCTAGTGTCGGGACATCCGACCCTGGCGGCTGCGCATGCGCACTCCATGGTTAGGGCATTTTAAAGAATGACTTCTACTTGTCACCCACTTTAGAGCATTGTCCATGTCTATGTGATAGCAGGAAAAATGGTCCCAGCTCACATCAAGTAAAAATGGGCCCCTGTGTCTTGGAGAGCCCCTGTGCAGCTACACAATGTGCACAAATGCTTTGTCTACACTTGGACATTGTTATTATGCCATGATGATATATAACCAAAGACTGCAGTATTTTACAACTGTATAACTACTGTTATAGTATGATTTAGTCCATTTTTACAGCGGCTGTTTTTGGCTTTTGGCATTTTTTTTTTTCTACAGCCAGTAAACTCCCCAGCATATTATCCTATATGTCCATGCACACATGCACACATAGGCTTTAATTAGCGTTTTTTGGCAGGAGCGTTTTTTTGGCTGGAAAAAAACCCAGAGCTAGTTGGTTTCTAGAGGTGTTATTTAGTTGTAAAAACGCTCTAACGTTGGTAAATGCGGGAAAACAAGGTAAAACACTGTAAAATGAGGCAAACCAACATTTTTGAGCATTTTTTTTTGCCAAAATTTTGTTTATTTATTTTTTGTAAAAAATGGTTAAAGCTTGTAGGAGGAGTTTTCTTTCTGCTCTAATAGGATGCAAAACCCTGACCATCTATCTGGACAGTGCTGATTGGCCCTGTGCTGATATCAAATGCATTCTCCCAAGAAAACAATAGCAATACACACTAAACTGAACATGTGCAAGTGGCTATTGGTTCAGTCTGTCTTATAAGGAGATAAGACGTGGGCATTTGAACAAGAGGAGGGGCAGAGAAGACAGGATCAAACAGCCTTTTTAGACAATGAAGAAGATTAACCCCTTAGGTTCTACAGTGAGTATAACAAGCATGCTTTACTGCATTTACAGACATTTGAATGCAAAATGCAGCAAAAGGCTACATATCACATGTTTTGCCTGCAAAGAAAATGCATCTCAATGCTGCTGTGTTCAAAGAAATGTAACATAAATCAAAACAGGTCAAATTCAGCTTCAGGCTGGTCATATACAATGCACAAGTAATCGGTAATCTGCTCATGCACTTGATGTACTGTACATTTCAGTTCCAGATCAAAATTAGGTGTGCAATGCGTTTCTACAGATATTATGCATGCGTATTATGTATGATTATTCAATTATGTCAGGGCTTCTTTACATCTTTGCAGAGTGGTATCACACATTATAGTGTGCATCAACATGCGTTGGGTTAAGGCATCTATTTAAATGTCCTATTTGACACACCAGAATGCACGAAAGAAAGTGCAGTAGTGCAATGCCATGTATTTTGGTGCATTGGTATGGCATTTAAATGAACATGCAGTGCACCAACATGGACGATGTTTGTTATCACAATACAATAGTTCAAATCTGGCCTTAAGGCTCCATGTCCACGGGACACTTGTGAACGATGGAAACTGTCTGCTGGAAAACGTAGGTTAAAAAACATCTGTTTATCTGCATTTGCATACGTGTTTCTGCGTGTTTATGAGTGTTTTTGCATTTAGAAGCGTTTTTTAAAGATAAGCTCAGGAGACCTTCCAAAATGCCCAGAATGCACTGAAAAATAGTACAAAATTAACTATTAACTTTGAGAGAAATAGAGAGAGAGCAGAAGCAGAGAGAGCAGTATTTGTTGAGATTACCTGTCTTTTTTTTTTTTTTTGTGGTGTTTGGATGTGTTCCAGCTCATTTCTTGTAGAAATTATTGCAGCAGTGTCTAACATATTTTCTTTCATGCGAAAACCTCACAGTATGGTGTACCAGGTCCATTTGAGTACCGGGAAAATGCTTTGCATGCATTTTTCATGCTGAAAAAAGGCTCTGGACAGCATCTGGAAATGGAAGAGTTAAAAAAAATTTCCAAACGCAAATGCTTATAAACGCGGTTTGAAACGCTGATAAAATCTACTCTTGAACACAAGTTTGGTGCGTTCAAAAAAAACGACTGTAAACTCAACTGCCTGTAAATGTCTGTAAATGACATAATGTACATGGACACATAGGAAACATTAGGGAGAGTTCAGGGGCTGCTGAAAAAAATGCAGAAAAGCTCCTAAACGTGAGTTTATCAGCTGCAGTGTACATGGAGCCTAAGACAGAAGAAGGCTTTGTTTACCTGAAAATGCCCAAGAAGTTCCAGTTGTTCAGACTGATTTTTTTAACAATGCTTTGCATCATAGCATGAAGCATCTTTCTTAGACAAACAAACATTTGACATGATATTTCTCAAGGCCTATGTCTTTGGGTCCTTGTAGATCTGCACCAAGAGTCTTGGTCTGTATGGCTGCTGAAATATCTCTCTCACTCCTTGTAAAGAGAGAGGGAGGCACAGATTGTAAGAAACCAGAAGTCATTTGGACTGAGACTATCAAGCATCAAAGTAGAGGATCAGATATACAGGAATATACAGGATATCATTACCTCCCTCCTGATCTGTTGATAATGGAGCTGCATGAAATTGCCCTTTAAATGAATGTCACAACATGGTAGTTTGCATTAATATACTTTACTTGTTTACTAATACTTTGCTGTATTATTCCTGATATCCACCACACCTAAACAATTCCAGAAAGACTAAAGTTACTGACAGCAGGCTAATGTTAATTCAATTAACACTTTAGAGATAGCATCTATTTTTATCCTCCATGGACAATAAAGAATGATTTCATTTGTTAATAATTACACTTTTGCCTGTTATCATTACTGCATATTCATTAAGAATCATGAGTCACCATGAATGTTGGCTGCCCTCCTCCCATCTCCCACGTGTTATACAAAAATAACCTGCTTGTCATTCTGCCATCAAATCTTTCACATTGTAGAAAAATAAATCACTCTACACAATGTGTATTTTGCACATCAGAGGGATTTAAGCCGATGTAAAACTTATATGTGGAAATGCAGTCTTTAATTCCACCAACAAATTTGTCTAACTGCTATGTGTGAGGTCTGGGTTTATGAGGATTTAGGTTCTGGCTTCCCACAAGTAGGGCTGAAATGATGAATACAGCACTCAGGTACACAAATGCTAAACAGCAGGTTTAACCTCTTTCTGGTCCATAAGGATGGGAAAGAACTCAAAAAAGTGAAAAATTGCTTTGTTATAGGGAACAGGGGCAGACTGACCATTTGGAAACTCGGGCACTGCCCAAGGGCCCGGGGTCAGTAGGGGGCCCCATGACATGCCCCTGGTACCTTTTTCATAGGATTTTTTGAGTTTGGGCAAGGACACAGGGGCCCCATGATCCCCTATTGTCCGGGGGCCCCATGAGTTGTCAGTCCGCCCCTGATAGGGAACATCTAGACATCTTAATTGTGCTTAAGTTGCACTATGTGAATTATACCTTTTGTCTTGAATCCCTCCTGAAAAATAGAAGAGCACTTCCTGCTATGTGAGTGTGCCTAGGCACTCCTGCAGTATGAGACCTAATGCACTGCTGCCTCTGATTGCTAGTCTCAGGAGATTTGGAGTGAGAATTGGTGAGGCCATTCACTGCTATTCAGTGTTGTTGGTGCCTCATGGAAAGGTCCTCATCGGGATCTTTCAGATCATGTGACCATCGTGACAGCCAATCATGGCAGTCACATGACTCTAAACCCTGCCCCATCTCCAGGTGTCACAGACCCCTTAATCGCCTCCCGCCCACCATATAAGGAAATGACGGGCGCATGGCGGTTCTCTCGTCCTGGGAGGATGTCACATGGTGATCGGCGGTGTGCTGTGCCCCTGGGATGATCAGTGTGCCCTGATGATCAGTGTATCCCCATCAGTGCCACCTGTCAGTGTCCATCAATGCCACCTGCCAGTGCCCATCAGTGCCACATCAATGACACATATCAGAACCTACCAGTGCACATCAATGCCACATATCAGTGCCTATCTGAGCTGCCTTTCAGTGCCACCTATCAGTGCCAGTCAGTGCAGCCTATCAGTGCTGCTGATCAGTACCACCTATCAGTGTGTGCGTCAGTGCCACCTATCAGTGCCACTTAACAGTGCCAGTCAGTGCCACCTAACAGTGCCAGTCAGTGCTGCCTATCAGTGCCAGTCAGTGCTGCCTATCAGTGCCATATATGAGTGCTGCCTTTCAGTGCCCATAAGTGATGCCTGTCAATACCCATCAGTGCCACCTACCAGTGCCTCCTCATCAGTGCCCATCAGTGCCGCCTATCAGTGTCTATCAGTGCTGCTTGTCAGTGCCCATCACTGGAGCCTCATTAACGCACATCAGTGAAGGAGAAAACTTATTTACAAAATTTTATAACAGAAACTAAGAAAAAACATTTTTTTTTTCAAATTTTCAGTTGTTTTTGGTTTGTTTAGCAAAAAATTAAAAAACACAGAGGTGATTAAATAGCCCCAAAAGAAAGCTCTATCTGTCTAAAAAAAATGATAAAAATTTCATATGAGTACAATGTTGCATGACTGCGCAATTGTCATTCAAAGTGTGACAGCACTGAAAGCTGAAAATTGGCCTGGGCAGGAAGGGGGTATAAGTGCCCGATAGGCAAGTGGTTAAAGGGCCAGGAGGAGCTGCTGTTGATAGGTTAAATGAAATAAACCTTGCAGCATCAATTGTCACTGGAACATGTGTATGTACAGTATATTCATTCATACTTCCATAAAGAGAACCATTTATAATGGTTCACAAACCTACATCTCAAATGTTTTACTATTACAGGTTTGCCTCTCAGGGATAACTTTTTTGTCTTGTATTCTCTTCCTTCAGAGATTCTCCTATCTATACTGGGCTGAGTAGGTGACATAAAACTTTCACATAACAAAGCTGCTGCCCGGATTACATAAAACATAACTAAAGGGTTTATTTGACAATCATATCTCTCTTATATTCTGGTTAGAGTTTTTGTTGTCAGCACTGAGGTCAGGTGGCAGACAGCTCGGCCTCTATGGGCCTTACAGCCTGACATCTCTGCTCTGACAGGAGTAACATACAAATAAGCAAAACTATAGGAATCCCATAGTGGTAAAGCTGCATTATTCTAATAATTTAATAGCAGAGGCAGGGGTGGACTGACAACTCATGGGGCCCCCGGGCAATAGGGGATCATGGGGCCCCTGTGTCCTTACCCAAACTCAAAAAAGCCTATGAAAAAGGTACCAGGGGCATCTTATGGGGTCCCCTACTGACCCCGGCCCTCGGGCAGTGCCTGAGTTTCCAAATGGTCAGTCTGCCCCTGAGCAGAGGTTCACCTGATCACAAATGGGTATTCTTGGCTTGACCACTTTAGCACATTTGAAGTTAGGGACAGGCTCTGATTTTCACTTCAGAGAGCTAAATCACATTTTTTCCATTTTTAGCATTCACCAATCAAGCAGGCGTTAAAGATGTAAAAAGTCAGTAAAGACCCACCAAACTACTGTATATACTTTCTGAAAAAAACATATAGACCTAAAAATAGGTTTCCTTGACATAGTGTATCTATCATTCCTCCCCATATGTTTTTTTCAAGCATTATTTTCTACAAATCCACTAAAATAACTGTTAATATATACAAATACAATAAAATACCTCAACTTCTTGCTAAATGTATTTTGTAAGTAACATATACGGTAAATAAAAGAGAGTAACAAGACAGTAGAGTCAACCAAATCAATCTATTTTCCTCAAGGGTATCATTCCTATACTACATACAATGCTCAAAAAAATTAAAGGAACACTTTAAAAACACATCAGATCTCAATGGGGAAAAATATCATGCTGGATATCTATACTGATGTGGACTGGGTAATGTAAGGATGCCCCATCGTTTGATAGAATCTTCTATGGCTCTGTCCAGCTCTCTTAGAATAACTGCCTGTCTCCTGGAATCTCCTCCATGCTCTTGAGACTGTGCTGGGAGACACAGCAATCCTTCTGGCAATGGCACGTATTGATGTGCCATCCTGGATAAGTTGGACTGACTATGCAACCTCTGTAGGGTCCAGTTATCGCTTCATGCTACCAGTAGTGACACTGACCCTAGCCAAATGCAAAACTAGTGAAAAACAGTCAGAAAAGATGAGTAGGGAAATAAATGTCAGTGGCCTCCACTTGCAAAAACATTCCTGTTTTGGGGGTCGTCTCTCATTGTTGTCCATCTAGTGCATCTGTTGTTAATTTTTTTACCACCAAAGCAGCTGAAACTGATTAACAACCCCCTCTGCTACTTAACTGACCAGATCAATATCCCAGGAGTTTAATTGACTTGATGCTATACTCTGATTAAAAAGTGTTCCTTTAATTTTTTTCAGCAGTGAATATAACTGATGGATAAATTCATTTTTCCTTGATTGTAGCTCACTAATGTGTAAAAATTACTCCAAAACCTGGTTAAGGGGCCATAAAACAATCAATCCTAGGCCTGGTTACCCTAGTTGACTTCAGAGTATAGAAATGTAATTATGAACTGACCATATGACCAAGCCCTTTCAGGAACGTGTGTTGTGTTCCTTAAAAGGTACTACTGCTATTCAGTTTGTACGAATGGTTGTTACTTACCCACTATTCCTGTATATACCACAGCAAAGATTGGAAAAAAACTAGTCCCGTCTCAGGGCTACTCAATGCACGCACCTGGTTTGATCATCGTGCTAACCCATAAGGGGGACTTCTTGGCGATAAGGCATCTATAACTAAGTATTCTTGTTACACTTTTCCAATATTATTACATTTGTTATTTTTATCTGTTATTATTTAATTAAATGTTATATGCAGTTTGATTTTACCTGCAAGTGTTTATTGCACATCTCAAAAAAGCCCAAAAATGTAAACTATCACGATACTGTGGTAAAACAATAATATTCCACCACAGGTATAAAAGTGAGATTTTAAATGTTACTCTGAGGAAACAATAAAACAACACTTCTTCTAATTTCACGAACATACATTACTCTAAGATTTCTTTTATATGATCGTATGATCTTATATATGCTTTCATATTTAGGAATGAATGTAGTGTACAGACAAACCAATCCATTATATGATGGTCAGATGTGCATTTTTTGTGTACAGGCTTGCAGTGACATTTTGTACTATCTTTCGCTGGATGTCTGATGACATGTATTGGTACACTTATTGATTTTGCTATTAACTTGGATGACACTACAGTAGTTTTTAAATTGGTAGGCCAACTCATTGCGTTTGAGTTACTAAAACTGGAGAGTGCAGAATCTGGTGCAGCTGTGCATGGTAGCCAATCAACTTCTAACTTCAGTTTATTAAAGCAGGCTTTGGCAAAAAAACAAACTGGAAGCCGATTGGTTTCTATGCAGAGCTGCATCAGATTTTGCACTTTTTACAAGGTAGTTAAGGTATGTCTACATGTTTCAGAGTCTAGGCCAACCCCTTCCTCAAGGTTTATAAAGATATCAGCTAGAAAAACTGGAGTGTTTACTGGCAGACTGAAGGTGCAGGGCGAAGTTGTGGCATTTATATGATGGCTAGGTACCCAATCTTTTTTTTTCAAAATCCAAACAACTTTTATTGTCAAGACAATGAAAAATAAAAATGGAACAGGGTTTACAGAATCTTCAGCAATATTGCTACACCAGTACAAGTACACATAGACAGAACAATGGATACGCAGATCTTGTAACAGGCATAATAACAGAAGCAATGACCAATCAAAACTGGGAACACAAGGATCCAAGACCATCTTGACAATACATAGCTTTTTTTCCTTTTACCCTTTATTCCTCCCTGTCCAGATGGGTAATAAAATGAGGGAAAGGAACAAAGCCACAAAATAAACCAACAATAAATAAATAAAAAGAACCCAACAACAACAGTTAACTGGTTCACCCAAGACATCTCATCAGAAAAAAAAGTGGATACACATGAGCTCCCCTAAAGGGAGAAGTGGAGTTACATGCCTGATTTAGAATGTCACACCTGCAAGATCTGATCCGCTATCAGCTGAGGCGGGGCAAGCCCCGGCGTATCCAGCCAACCCTGCCACACCTGTTGGAAATTACGATGAGCATTGCGATGCTGATATGTGAGCTTTTCCCATGGAAGTAACAAATTAACATAATTTATCCATTGCCTACTAGTTGGCGGAGCCGATGATAACTAATACTGTGCAATCAATTTCCTAGCCAGATATAAAAGTCTAGACACCATGATATACCTTCCAGGTTGGAACAGTTCATGGTCCAGTGCTCCCAACAAGCATTGCAGGGGATCCTGGGGAACAGTATATTACGATACTAGGGAAATACTCTGGAGAACATCAGTTCAATATCTATGCAACTTGGGGCAATGCCATAGCATGTGAATGAAATCACCTTTCTGGGTCTTACACCTCGGGCAGTCAGGCAAATCTTGCCTTACCCACCGGTACAATTGCACAGGAGTCCTATATGCCGATGGAGAATAAACAGTTGGATGAGGCTAAGGCATTTGAATGCTAAGGCATTTGATTGGATGCGGCTAATGCCTTAGCCGCATCCAATGACCAAATTGCCCTTCCCCCTGGATTATCCACCGGGACTTGCAAATGTAAATAAAGTCTACGAATATTATTAGCTGCTCCTCTAGAGGGAATAAACCCCGACTGATCTTTATGCACGATATTACCAATGAATAGCCAATCTAGTAGCTAGAGCCTGGGCCAGCAATTTAACCTCTGTGTTCAGAAGGGAAATGGGACGATAGGAGTCTGGTTTTAACCTATCTTTGCCAGGTTTTAATAATACTATAATAACAGCTTCATTCATGGAGGGGGGCAAACCAGATCCACCCATGGCGGCATTCAAGATGTTGAGCAAGGCCAGAAAGAGTTGCTCAACGTATCTATTATATATTTTGAAAGGCAATCTGCCAGAGCCATCAGATTTATTACTAAGGGTACCTGTTAAAGCTTCAGACAATTCCTCAATAGTAATTGGCATATCTAGTTCTCTCTGGTCAGACTCTGATAAAGCAGGGAAAGGGCAGGTGTCTAGAAACTGCAAAAACTCAGAATGGGGCCACAAGTTTGGAAGCATACAGATTGTCATAAAAGGGATGGAAAACTCTCAGGATTTCCGCATGACCCATGCAAATCACTCTCTCGACATCCTCAATTTTGTCTATAGCGGATGCCTCTTATTGTGATTTTACCACAAGGGCAAGCAGGTATCCCGTGCTCTCACCCACCTCAAAATATTTGTGTTGCAAGAAATAGCGCTTCTTGTCGGCCATCTGAGTAAGCACCACTTCATAAAGGGTCTGGGCCTCTTTCCAGGAGGTACAGTTATGGGGCTCGGGTTCTGAATCATCTGAACTTCCCTCTGGTGAACATCTAATCGTACCTCCTCCTCCCACTCCCTGGATCTACGCTTACCTGATGAAATCTCTTGGAAAATCAAGCCCCTTAGTAAGGCCTTCATCACATCCCAAACCATTCCTGGTGGGGACAAGCCCTCATTCCACTGTAGAAAATCTGACAACTCCCCTGGAATCATCTCAGACTCCAGAAACCAAGTCAACCAAAATGACGAAAGCGGGAATAGCTCACCTGCAGCCTAACCCAGAAAGGGGCATTGTCAGACAGAGTTCTGGGTTCATATGCAGCATCAAACACATATGGCAGGATAATCAAGTTCCCAAGGCCCAAATCTGTATGCGAAAGCCCATCATGAGTAGCAGAGTAGCAAAAATAACATTTAGCTGATACTTCATACGCCACACATCCCTTAGGCCCACATTCACCAATAAATTAGCAAACGGGGTAGGCTGAGGGGATGATTGTCTGCCCTCTGTTGCTCAAGGGTAATTCATCCAATGTAGGGTGTAAGCAATTGTTATACTCACCCAACGCCAACAGGGGAACATCAGGGTGATTTGCCATAAATTGAGCAAGGCATTTAATAACCACTGGAGAGTAGGGATATACAGGTGAAACTCGAAAAATTAGAATAAGAATAGAAAAAGTTCATTTATTTCAGTAATGCAACATAAAAGGTGAAACTAATATATGAGATAGACTCATTACATGCAAAGCAAGATAGTTCAAGCCGTGATTTGTCATAATTGTGATGATTATGGCTTACAGCTCATGAAAACCCCAAATCCACAATCTCAGAAAATTAGAATATTGTGAAAAGGTGCAATATTCTAGGCTCAAAGTGTCCCACTCTAATCAGCTAATTAAGCCATAACACTTGCAAAGGGTTCCTGAGCCTTTAAATGGTCTCTCAGTCTGGTTCAGTAGGAATCACAATCATGGGAAAGACTGCTGACCTGACAGTTGTGCAGAAAACCATCATTGACACCCTCCATAAGGAGGGAAAGCCTGAAAAGGTAATTGCAAAAGAAGTTGGATGTTCCCAAAGTGCTGTATCCAAGCACATTAATAGAATGTTATGTGGAAGGGAAAAGTGTGGAAGAAAAAGGTGCACAAGCAGCAGGGATAACCGCATCCTAGAGAGGATTATCTGGAAAAGGCCATTCAAAAGTGTTGGGGACTTTCACAAGGTGTGGACTGAGGCTGGAGTCAGTGCATCAAGAGCCAAAACACGCAGACGGATCTGGACATGGGCTTCAAATGTCATATTCCTCTTGTCAGGCCGCTCCTGAACAACAAACAACGTCAGAAGCGTCTTACCTGGGCTAAAGAAAAACAGACCTGGTCTGTTGCTCAGTGGTCCAAAGTCCTCTTTTCTGATGAGAGCAACTTTTGCATCTCATTTGGAAACCAAGGACCCAGAGTATGGAGGAAGAATGGAGAGGCACACAGTCCAGTGTGAAGTTTCCACAGTCTGTGTTGATTTGGGGAGCCATGTCATCTGCTGGTGTTGGTCCACTGTGCTTCATTAAGTCCAGGGTCAACGCAGCCATCTACCAGGAGATTTTGGAGCAGTTCATGCTTCCTTCCACAGATGAGCTTTATGGGGATGCTGACTTCATTTTCCAGCAGGACTTGGCACCTGCCCACACTACCAAAAGCACCAAAACCTGGTTCAATGACTGTGGGATTACTGTGCTTGATTGGCCAGCAAACTCACCTGACCTGAACCCCATAGAGAATCTATGGGGCATTGCCAAGAGAAAGATGAGAGACATGAGACCGAACAATGTAGAAGAGCTGAAGGCCGCTATTGAAGAATCCTGGTCTTCCATAACACCTCAGCAGTGCCACAGGCTGATAGCTTCCATGCCAAGCGGCAGTGAGGCAGTAATTGCTGCAAAAGGGGCCCAAACCAAGTACTGAGTACATATGCATGCTTATACTTTTCAGAGGTCCGATATTGTTCTATGTACAATCCTTGTTTTATTGATTGCATGTAATATTCTAATTTTCTGATATTGTGGATTTGGGGTTTTCATGAGCTGTAAACCATAATCATCACAATTATGATAATTCACGGCTCGAACTATCTTGCTTTGCATGTAATGAGTCTATCTCATATATTAGTTTCACCATTTAAGTTGCATTACTGAAATAAATGAACTTTTGCATGATATTCTAATTTTTTGAGTTTCACCTGTAAATTGCAGCCACTATGCAGCAAAACCCATTCAAAGTACACAGCAGGAAAATGTACCTGTCCTGCATCAATCCACTCCTGCACATGAACAAATTGAGTTGGAAATGAGGATACACACATCTCTAGAAAACATGGAATGGAAAGAATGATATTGTATGGGGAATAAACGGGAGCAGAGGGCACCAACAGTGCCAGACTTCAAATGGGTTTCCTGCAAACATACTACAGACATTTTTAAATGTTTAAGTACATGAAAAACAGAACCCTGTTTAGTTTTATCCCCCAGGCCCCTTACATTCCAGGATAAAAACATCAATTCCTTATGAGAGACAGACATAATACATATGAAGCACCAATCGGTGGAGCATGTGCTGGGACTCTGTGCACGTTCTACTGCAAACATGGGGGAGAATGCATCACTGCCAAAGGTAGAGCTCATCCAGGCTTCAATAAAGGATACAGGATTTTTACCCTCAGCACGGTCTGGTATGCCTACTGTGCGCACATTGTTGTGGCGTAACCGATTTTCCAAATCTAGAGGCATTAGTAGAAGTGATCGATTGCACATATCGCACATCCCTGTGTAATGGTTGCCAGTCATCTTCCAAAGTGCTCTCTCTCCCCTTCAAGCCCGCAGTGCGATCCCGCAATTTCTGCATATCTTGGAGCACCAGAGACAGTTCCACCCTCATCCCCTTCACCTCCCCAGTTTAGAACCGGCACAGATGAGGTATAAGTAGTAACTGCAGTAAAAATGTCTCTAAGTGTGGGTTCAGGATTGTCTTCAATAAAAGTAGCAGCCTCTGTCCCATGAGACTGGAATGGTGGGATACTCATGGCGGGACTGCAGGATGGGATCTCTCGGTCTGCCAGTGCAAGAGGGATCTGAGTACAGTCTAAGTCCGGATCAGTAGCGGATTCCAAAAATTGTTTTTGGGATGTTTCCCTGATGAGCGGCCTGGCAAAGAACTTTTGAGCAGCCTCCCTCTGCTTCTCCTTGGATGCACGGAGCAGGGAACCGCCATGTTGCCCCACCAACTCAGGCAAGGCCTGAATTTCTTTCCCCCTTTCAGCCATCACAAAGCAGGATAAAGTGGGCACCAAGTGACAGCAGGGAGAGCGGGGCACCCCCCGGGGACCAAAGATGTTATTCTGACCGGAAAACGAGATGTCAAACAGGATCATCTCAGGATGAACAGCGGAGCTCACGAGGCACACGTCCTACTGCATGCGATGCTGGCCAAGCCCCACAATACTCATTCTTGATAACTGTTGATGGGTATACTTTAAACACATTTTTCTATTCACTGATACAATGTGTTAAAAACAGTTATTGTGATTGTGTGGAGGACTTATTACATATATTTGCTTTGTAAAAGATCAAGGCAATTTTGATGTTCTGCTTATGAAATGTGATGGGGTTGTAATCGATTTAAGTCACAGCCATTGTCTCTCTGTTTCATCACTAATGGTATGGTTTTATTGTAAGTCATTGACTTATCTGCATATTTTTTTTTACATTTTACACAGCACGATGTGCGCAGACTGTATTAGCCCCATGTACATTATTAAATGCAGAGAAATGTGCTGAGGCTGACTATTGAATTGTCTTGTATTTCAGAACATATTCATATCAATGAGAGTTGTTAGAGCTCTGCAGCTCTTTGTAGTATGAGTCATCTTGTGTCCTGGTGATCAACATATACAGTAAATTATTAATGTCCAATAAAGAAATGACTGCAGCTCACGTCTCCAACATTGACAGTATGTGTTTTGTGCTTTGTTCAGTTAAATTTGCTTTCCAGTACAGATATGTAGACCATTTTTAAAATATAGAGGTGGTTCTCAGCTGTGATATGTATGCCTTCTTTATTAAATTTCTGTCACCTGCACATCAGCTGATATTTCGGGTTGGGCTCATAGCAGTGCCTACACTGCCTGATGAAATGGGGGTAAGGTAGGGTGAAAAGATGTCCTCAGTTCCTAATTTTAGGGAGTTGTTCCTGGGAAAAAAAAGTGCCCCCTGTTTTGTCCCCAGTTAAAAGAACATGTACCTGATTTATTTCCAGCTTTAACCACTTGCCTACTGGGTACTTTTACCCCCTTCCTGCCCAGGCCCAATTTTCAGCTTTCATCGCTGGCACACTTTGAATGACAATTGCGCGGTCATACAACACTGTACACAAACAAAAGTTTTTGCATTTTTTGAGACAGATAGATCTTTATTTTGGTGGTATTTAATCACCACTGGGTTTTTTATTTTTCGCTAAAGAAACTAAAAAAGACTTAACATTTTTGGGAAAAAAAGTTTTTTCATAGTTTCTGTTATAAAATGTTGTAAATAAGTAATTTTTTTTCCTTCACTGATGTGCACTAATGAGGCTGCAGTGATGGGCACTGATAGGCGGCACTGATGAGGAGGCACTGATGGGCATTGACAGGCATCACTGGTGGGAATTGACAGGCATCACTGATGGGCACTGAAAGGCAGCACTCATATATGGCACTGATGGGCACTGACAAATGGCACTGATAGGTGGCACTGACTGGTACTGATTGGCGGCACTGATGGGCACTGATAGGCCTCATTGACTGGCACTGATAAGCAGCACTGACTGGCACTGATAGGAGGCACTGATTGGCGGCATTGATAGCCAGCAGCACTGACTGGCACTGATAGTTGTCACTGAAAGGCAGCTCTGATGGGCACAGACATGTGGTACTGCACTGGCACTGATACTTGGGACTGACTGGCACTGTTAGGCGGCACTGATAGGTGGCACTGATGCACACTGATAGGTGGCACTGACTGGCACTGATAGGTGGCACTGACTGGCACTGATAGGTGGCACTTATTGGCAGCACTGATAGGCAGCACTGACTGGCACTGATGGATGGCACTGACTGGCAATGATAGTTGGCACTGAAAGGCAGCTCAGATGGACATTGATATGTGGCATTGATGTACACTGATAGGCACTGATATGTGTCATTGATGGGCAATGACAGGTGGCAATTATGGGCACTGAAAGGCAGCAGTGATGGGGCTACAATGATCAGTGCCCTGATGATCAGTGTAGATGTCCCCTCTGAGGAATGCAGCTTACTGGCTCTCCTCTCCTCACGTGCTATCGGCATGAGGAGAGGGCTGCCTATAACCAGCATTTCCTATTTACATGTGATCAGCTGTGATTGGACATAGCTGATCACATGATAGAACCTGTGTCATCAGCTCTTTACTGCGATCGGTGATCCGCTGTGTCCCAGGGACACAGCGGATCATCGATCACCGCACCACACACCCCAGGGCGCGCATGTGCAGTTAGAGTAGGAGGACATCATATGACATCCTCCCAGAATGAGAGAGCCGCCGCCCTCCCGTCATTTTCTTATATGACGGGCGGGAGGTGGTTAATAATGGTGCCCGCTGTGGGGTGGCTTCAGGGTAATATTAGCAACATTTCTGTGGTTGGCCTGGAGCAGGAGGAGGGAGGGGAGGAGTGTATCTGTTCCCAGCTGTGTCCAGGGTTATTGAAGAGTCACATACTAATATCATATGGTCTATCCAGCCCCTTCACTCTCCGCTTGTGTAGACATTTTTTCAGTAAGTAAGAATATGGGTTATTTTCCGCCTTGCTCTTCTTTGTGATGGTGACCTGCAGTCCACATCTGGGCCTGGAGCCGGTAATTCAACACTACACCAGGATACAGGGCCAAAACAAGGAGGAGGGTGGGCATCTAGGAGGAGCAGCTGCCCCCTGCTCGGTGTTTCAATGTGGGGGGGGATTATGCCAGTTGCAGTAGACACAAACGACATTTTGCTCCATTACTATGCTGAAATGGATTGTGACTGTAGAGTTGTCTGCTTGCAGCCACCTCTAAATGCTGCCTGGGACATGACCTGCCACATGAGTGTGTTGCTGATTGTCTGATATCAGATGAAGCATATGACTTCTCCAGCACCCCCATTCTTTGCTCTGCACACAGACTCCTACCCGTCCTGCAAGTATATGGTCCCTTCTGCTGCTATACAGGTGCTACCACTAAAGATGAGGGGAGGCAACTCGCCAGTAGATGGTGGACTGTGGGGAATACTAGCAATGCCATGTTAAGGTCCAGTGAGCACAATTCAGGGAGTGGAGAATTTGTGCTGGAGGTGGGGGGATTGTATTGAAAGGAGATAGGAATTTTTGTTTGGGAGGCCCTCTGTGCTTTACTTACTTTTGGCTTCTACACTTTGCACTATTGAACCAAAGCAATGTAGGCTTAAGGGGCAATGTGCCACTATTATCTCCATGCCCGGCTATGTCCTTGCCCCACCCCCAATAAAATTGGGCATGGTCAGTAGAGTGTCCCCAGATTTACTTTTGAAAATCTAGTCACCTTAGAATCAAGATATGTATATATTGTAAATCTGTTGCACTAATAACCACCTTGTGCCAAAATTCTAAATTGAGTGTACATAAAATTATCAATAAACAAACAATATATAAACATAAAAGAAAAGAATCAAATAAAGTCCAAATTATTGCGAGCCCAAATGTGAATCCATCGTGAGTAAGACGTCCTTTAGGGCCAAAACAAACTCCATGAAGTGCTGCGACACCAATATCTCCATGGAGACACCAGGGTGATCCCACCACCAAGGGTTATTATGCACTTACCCTCTAGCCATTTTAAAATTTTAATTTAGAATTTTTGCACAAGTTGGTTATTAGCGCAACAGATATATACTATATATAAAATTTGAACTGTCAAATATATCTCATAGTACTGTTTACAGTCTTTATGATTTTTCACTCTATATATTTTTTGGTATTTTTTCACATAAGCACAACATTTACATTTTTAGACCTTAGAGTAAAGGGCAGAACAAGGTTCACAAATCCTACCTGTGGTCTTTCTTGTCCACAGACGTGGCAGCAACATAGTACAAACAATGGTGATCAGTGGTAGGTTGGTCCACAAAGCACTTTTGTGCGCAAAACATCAGAAAGACATCAGGTATGTGTAAGGGGATGAAGTTGAGATTGTCCTTTAGTAATAACTGTATATCCAGAAAATGAAAGTGTCACCTTTTTGGGACTGGCCTGTGCTGGTGACCCTTTGTCCCTACTACAGGCATGCCTTTGAAGCATCAGTCTGCCTCTCGCTTTTGATGCTGCTGCAGCCTCGTGCCCTCTCACTTGCCATTAAGGCTATTGATGAGAGGCCTCTACAGCCTGCCCATGTGACCCATGAAACCGCTGTGTTGACCATGGCTGTAGGGGCTCTTTTCCATGAGATAATCCAATTCCAAGTAATTTCCTGACCTCATTACCCAGTTTTCATTGGTTATCCTTGGTTACAGAAGCACGATCCTTCATTTGATTGGCATAGAGCCAAGGTTCTGTCATGGTCGCCACAATGCACTAATACTTGTTTTCATTAAGTGAGAAGAGTCATGTGCATGTCTTCAGTCTCATGACTCAACAATTGCCTTATGAATGCACAACTGATCTTCACATGGTGCCATTCCTCCTCGTGGTCGGGTTTACCCTCTGTCTGTCTCGGAGGATAAGGCTGTGGAGGAGTATGTTGTGCATTCACTCTCAGTCCTCTTCTGCCGGGGCTGGGGGGATTTTTTGTGAAAAAGAAGAGTGGTGAACTGAGACCCTGTATCGAATATAAGGGTCTCAATCATATTACTATTAAAAAATGCTTATCCAATCCCATTGATAACGGAATTATTTGACCACCTCAAGGAAGCAATGGTCTTCACTAAGCTCGATTAGAGATGGCCATACAATCCATGAGGGTTAAGGAGGGTCATGAACAGAAAATTGCATTTAACACTAGGAGCAGACACTGCGAATACCTTGTAATGCCCCTTGGTCTCTGCAACACTCCTGCTGTTTTCCAGGAATTTATTAACTATGTGCTGCAGCGATGTGTGATGGTTTACCTTGATGATGTTCTCATATATTCAAAATTCCTAGAGAATCACTACATAGACGTCTCCCGTGTGCTACAGAGGTTGAGAGAGAACAAGCTGTATTACAAGTTGGAGAAGTGCAAGTTTCATCGTAAACAGGTTACATTTTTGGGTTATGTCATATCTTCTAACTGGTTTTCAATGAACCCAGAGAAACTGTAGTTATCACCTTTTATATCATCTCCCCCTTCCTTTAGATTGTAAGCTCCATGAGCAGGGCCCTCACATTCCTTCTGTACTGAAATGTATTGTAATTGTACTGTCTCCTTAATATTGTAAAGCACTGTGCAAACTGTTGGCGCTATAAAAATCCTGTATAATAATAATAATAATTCTTGAGGTTGATGCATCTGAGACTGGAGTAGGTGGAAAACCTAGTGGGCCACTGCTTTGTCCCCGAGAATCTCCACACTGCTTTGCTCCAGACCTACCACTCTTCCAAAGCAGCTGGGCACCCAGGAAAAATCAACTCATATAATCTATGTCTCAATAATTCTGGTGGCCTAGTCCCCGTGCTGATGTAACTGCCTTGTAGCTACTTGTCCTGTGTGTGCTCAGAATAATACACCCTGACACCTTCCAGCAGGCCTTCTACAATGCATAACCAGTGGAGAGAGGCCCTGGATCCACATGTCTATTGATTTTATTATGGATTTGTATAAATGTGTATATAGACTGCACTGCCAAAAATGTGAACCAAATATACTTAACAAATTGCCACATGAAAAAATGGAAAAAAATTAAATAAATGGGCAATACTTCCAGGTGATCCAGGTGACCCACATGGATTTACACTCAACCTGGTCACCTGTAGCACCTGGAAGTGGTCACCTGTTTTTTCTGTTACTAATGACACCATCACCTGTTCACCTAACCTTTGGCTTTCAAGCAATTATTATTTGAATGGGACTTACTGATACATTGGACATTATTTGTATTTTCTTGTGTTGTCCACTAATATCATTTGTTTTCCATTTTTTGCATTTTCACATGTGGCAAATTGTTAAGTAATTTTGGTTCACATTTTTGGCAGCACAGTCAATATACACATTTATAGGACTCACTAATGTGGACATTAGACACATTTTGAAGACTGCAGCAGCCATAATCACACTCATCTGTGTTTCTTAATTTTTGGTTTCTTTTGGTTTTGCCTCTGGTGCAGAGTTTTCATTGTTATTTATTATGGATTCACCTAACTCCCAGGGCAATACAGCTATTGTTACAGTGGTTGACTCGTTTTTGAAAAGGTCACATTTCATTCCGCTAAAGAAGTTGCCTATGTCTAAAGAACTGGCATCAATATTCTCTCGGGAGGTCTTTCGGTTACATGGGTTACCTAAAGTTATCTCGGACAGGGGTAGCCAGTTTGTGTCCAGGTTTTGGCGAGCCTTTTGTGCACAGCTGGCAATTCAGTTTTATTTTTCTTCGGCATATCACCCACAGTCCAATGGGCAGCAGAACAGGCCAACTAAGCTTTTGATCAGTTCCTACGTTGCTATATTTCACCTGTTACCTTGGGCAGAGTTTGCTCAAAATAACGCCATCAATGCCACCTCCTAATTATCTCAGTTTAGGGCTAACGATGGGTTCCAGCCATGCATGTTGTCTGATAAATTCATTCCACAGGGAATTCCTGCATTAGAGGAACATCTTCTTGAACTCCGTTCCACTTGGGTGCAGATCCAAGGATCCTTGCAATGCTCTAGAGAGAGGTACAAACTCCATGCTGACCACCGATGCCTACCTGCACCCTTCTACCAAGTTGGGGATAGGGTCTGGCTGTCTTCCCATAACCTCCAACTTTGTGTTCCCTCACTGAAACTGGCGCCTCGGTATGTTGAGCCTTTCCGCATACTGCATAGGGTTAACTCAGTGGCATACAGATTAGATCTTCCTTCCAACATGCGTACTTCCAATGTTTTCCATGTTTCCTTATTAAAACCTTTGGTGTGTAACCATTATACCACCTCTCTACCATGCCCTCGCCTGGTTCAGGTTGACAACCATGAGGAATATGAGATACAATTTATCATTTACTCCCGTAGGTTTTGTGGGTGCATACAATATCTAGATCACTGGAGGGATTACGGTCTGGAGGAACACTCTTGGGTCTCATTCTAGGACGTACATGCTCCTGCCCTCCTCCCTGATTTCAATTAATGTTTTCCCCTCAAGTCTGGTGCCCCCACACAAGGGAGAGGGGTTTGTTAAGGAGGGGGTACTGTCATGGCTGGGCTCCTGCTACTTAACGAGCAGCTCTTTTCAACTTTGACTCAGCTGTCGGTTAATTACCAGCCACTTGTCTCTACAGTGACTCACCTGGATACTATTACCTGCTTCATTAGTCCAGCCTACAGCCAGCTCTTTTTTGCTACTTTAGCTTAGCTCATTTCCTCCTTGCCCTTACGTGGTCTATGATCCCCAGTGTGTTCCTGCCTGTGTTTCTGTGTAAAACTCGGTCTGGCTGACTTCTCTTCTGATTCCTGTTCATGATTTTTGGCTCCTGACTATGCTGACTTCTGGTTTCCTGACCCTGGCTCCTCTGAAGGAAGGAAGGAGCTAGCCCGAATAAGGCCTAAGCCACCAACGCACTAAGCTAACAGGAGAGGACAGTGTGAGTACTCTTACATCCCCTGGGCCAGATAAGGAGAGAGGGTGGTCAGGTGCAGGACTAGCTTCTCATTCAGGACTGTTCAGTCGACAGCTTCTAGGTGCCTTTGCCCAGGAATGACCCTCAGTGCATGTGGGTGAAGAGGAGGAATCATTCAGGGTCTGAGGAGGTACACCAAGGGGGTTTAGTGCTCCTTAAAGAGAGACTGTTGCTAATCCGCATTTTTGAACATAGTTGTTAAGGAATTGTCCTCAAGATAAACTGTTCCTCGGGCATCCCATATACCCCTAGTCCATATACAAGTTTAACCCCTTAATAAAATCACAAAACCAAGTTCATTAATTGTTTACTGACTCCAGTGTGCAAAGTGTGGGGAATGCGTGTTGCCTGGCCATGCAGAGCATAGGGAGACCTGTCCAAATCCAGCATCTCCTAGGGGAAATCACAGAAACACTCAGTTTGCTCCTGAGAGGACTACTAAAACTTGCTTAGAAATCTTCATGAATTCATGTACAGCATCCAGTTGGTCCTGCCAACCAGCTGTGATCTGCCTGGATTGTACAGAGAAGCAGCTCAAAGACCAAGAAGTAATGTCACTGGGTTTAAAATATAGTATGTAATGAAAACAAAATGATAATATTTAAAGATTTAATTAGCATGTCGATGAAGGCGTAAGAGAATTAAATGACAAATCTGTTGGGGTGTACTCATTTATGCTGAGCACTGTATGTTTCTCCAGAAGCCTGAAGTTGTGTGTTGAAAGCACGGTCGCTGCTCATCTCCAGCACAAGTACTGAATTGGAAACCAATTCATTAAACAGGTGTCCAGTAGACAGTTGATTATAAAAGGGCGTTACTTAAAAAAGAAATCCCCTTCCCATTTCATGCTGTCATCAATGGCACCACATGAAAGAGAAATGTCACAAGGCCCGAGAGAGAAAATAATTTCTTTACAAAAGAAAGGTGAAGGCTTCAAGATGATCGGCAAAGCTTTACTGATCAGTCAGAATACGGCAGCAAAAGTGATGGAAAAATTTAACAAAGATGGAACTGCAACCATCTCACATAGACTTCTAGGCAGTCCACAGAAGTTAACACCTCGACAGGAATGTCTTTTGATGAGAAGGGTTGAAGAAAATCACCATGCAAGTTCACTGCAGTTAGCTAAAGAAGTAGAAAGTCAAAGTGATTATTTCCTGTGACACAATAAGGCGTACACTGCAGAGGAATGGCATGCGTGGGTGTTGTCTACGAAGGAAGCCTCTCCTAAAGCCCATGCAGAAAAAAGCCTGCATGGAATCTGCCAGGGCCCATGCTGAAAAAGAAGAAGACTACTGGGACTCTGTACCCTGGAGTGATGAGACCAAGATAAATGTTTTTGGAACTGATGGCTTCAAAACTGTATGGCATCACAAAGGTGAGGAGTACAAAGAAAAATGCATGGTGCCTACAGTGAAACATGGTGGTGGCAGTGTCCTTCTGTGGGGCTGCATGAGTGCTGCTGGAGTAGGGGAGCTACATTTCATTGAAGGTAGCTTGAATTCACAGATGTATTGCTCTATATTGAAAGGAAAGATGCTACCATCACTCCATGCCCTTGGTCGTCATGCATTTTTCCAACATGACAATGATCCAAAACACACATCAAAGGCCACTGTTGCATTTCTGAAGAAAACAGGATGAAAGTGATTCAGTGGCCAAGTATGTCTCCTGATCTGAACCCAATCGAACACCTATGAGGAATTCTGAAGAGACAAGTTGAGCATCACTCTCCATCCAGCATCCAGGTTCTAAGAGAGGTTGATCTTGAAAAATGGAAAAAGATGTCGCAATATGTTGCCAACTTGTACATTCCATGCCTAGAAGACTTGGTGCTTTCCTTATAAATCATGGAGGTCATACTAGATGTAGTAGTTTCTGTTCTGGGGTGTTTTTAATTTTTCCATCAACTAGTTTGAGTAAAACTGAAGATTTTGTAGTCTTAGTTATATTATTAACCTTACTTTCATGTAATGAGCTAAACAAATGTTCTATAAAACTCAGTTTTGTATAGAAATTATGGAAATTGTTGTTGTGCTCATTGAGATACTGCTTAAAATCTTACTTTTCAAGAGGGGTGTACTCATTTATGCTGAGCACTGTATGTGTGGCAGCTGGGCTGGGCAACAGATTAAATAGACTTCAGCCCATTTAACCTATACAAGATCAATGGCTCTGTTTTCCTGGCTGTCTTGTAAGATAGATTGCTTTCTGAAAACAACTTGGACTGTTCTGCCTGTTGCATGCCTTGGTATTCAGTACATCTTCTCAATTTGTTTATCTGCAGCCTAGCCCACCACTTTCCTTTTTTCTACCTCTCCTTTGTATACTATAATTGGATCTGCTGTCACAATTGGTCCACTATACCATGTGATGATACCCTCATGACAGCCTGCAAATATAATGAGTAAGTTTGTCTGTACCCTACATACATACATAATTTCAAATTATATACAGAAATATGTTATCCACTACATTGCAACATACAGTCAGGTACATAAATATTGGGACATCAACACAATTCTAACATTTTTGGCTCTATACACCACCACAATGGATTTGAAATGAAATGAACAAGATGTGCTTTGACTGCAAACTGGCAGCTTTAATTTGAGGGTATTTACATCCAAATCAGGTAAACGGTGTAGGAATTACAACCGTTTGCATATGTGCCTCCCACTTGTTAAGGGACCAAAAGTAATGGGACAGAATAATAATCATAAATCAAACTTTCACTTTTTAATACTTGGTTGCAAATCCTTTGCAGTCAATTACAGCCTGAAGTCTGGAACGCATAGACATCACCAGACGCTGGGTTTCATCCCTGGTGATGCTCTGCCAGGCTTCTACTGCAACTGTTTTCAGTTCCTGCTTGTTCTTGGGGCATTTTCCCTTCAGTTTTGTCTTCAGCAAGTGAAATGCATGCTCAATCGGATTCAGGTCAGGTGATTGACTTGGCCATTGCATAACATTCCACTTATTTCCCTTAAAAAACTCTTTGGTTGCTTTTGCAGTATGCTTTGGGTCATTGTCCATCTGCACTGTGAAGCGGTGTCCAATGGGGCAGTGGGCAAGTGGTTAATAAGAATGTATAGCTAAAAACATTATCTGGACTCGAGTACCTTTGTTTTCAGTCTGGAGTCTGCAGCAATAACATCAGCAAGTGGGTATGGCCAGCACAGGAACATCTGAAATGCTGGATTACTGGTCCCCGCACCCAGAAAAGGCACCAACAAGGGGCATTGATGGTGGACTTGGGTGAGTATAACAAGAGGTAAAAAACAAACAAATAAACTGAAAAGTGGGTCAGAGAGGGGTAGGAAGGAGTTAAAGTAAATCTGATTATTGTGCAACAAAATAAAATGTACAAAGCGGAATTTAAATAGAAACAGCTCAACATTTTATTTACTTACAAAGCAATCATTTAAAATATATTTCAGATGCTGTTTAAATGAGGCATAATTGAATATTTGGGACAAAATAATTAAATGAGCCAATAGAAATTACTCATAAGTAATTCTCCCGCAAACACTGAATGGCAAAGCGGCAAAAGGGAAAATCAATTAGTAAAGCTTGCAGTGGTGAATGAGTGAATAATACATCTACAGCATGAAGAAAATCATACATAACATGGAGAATCTGGGAGCCTGGCAACACTAATACACTAAAGACATATTGCAGTTCACTATTTATCCTGTGTTTTCTTAATCAGATTATTTCATTCTTTTTACTGTTTAGACAGATTTGCTATGCTACACCTCAATGGTACAATTGTTTTCTGTGTAATAAAATTGACAAATTTATTTTGGTCCCATCAGTTTTATAACTTAACTTATTTGACCTAAAAAGCTAACCAATCACACTGGAAAACATATTGTCATACATTACAATCAAACTTCCGTATTTTTTGCTCCATAAGATGGACCTTACCATAAGACGCACCTAGATTTTAGAGGAGTAAAACAGGAAAAAAATATTCTGAACCAATGGACTGCAGACATAGTACAAGAGATGACCAGAGACTGCAGACATAGTACAAGAGATGACCAGAGACTGCAGACATAGTACAAGAGATGACCAGAGACTGCGGACATAGTACAGGAGATGACCAGAGACTGCAGACATAGTACAAGAGATGACCAGAGACTGCAAACATAGTAGAAGAGATGACCAGAGACTACGGACATAGTAAAAGAGATGACTAAAGACTACGGACATAGTACAAGAGATGACCAGAGACTACGTACATAGTACAAGGGATGACCAGAGACTACGAACACAGTACAGGAGATGACCAGAGACTGCAGACATAGTACAAGAGATGACCAGAGACTGCAAACATAGTAGAAGAGATGACCAGAGACTACGGACATAGTAAAAGAGATGACTAAAGACTACGGACATAGTACAGGAGATGACCAGAGACTATGGACATAGTACAAGGGATGACCAGAGACTGCGGACACAGTACAGGAGATGACCAGAGACTGCGGACACAGTACAGGGGATGACCAGAGACTATGAACACAGTACAGGAGATGACCAGAGACTGCGGACATAGTACAGGAGATGACCAGAGACTGCTGGCATAGTACAGGTGTATGGGAATTCCTGTGAGATGGCTGGCGAATAGAAATGCGTATGGAAATATCTGGAGAAGAGTGACCAGACGTGCGCATGCGCACAGAAATGTGCGATCGCGCACGCGCACGTGCACACGCACAGTGAAGATTGGCGCCAGACTAACTATTAAAAGGGTGCCCCTGCCTGTGCTGGGTGCTGACTGGTCTTCAGCTGTCCCCCGTGTCCTGCTTGTTCCTGTGTGATTCCCTTGTTGCTGACCCGGCTTGTTCCTGACTTGACTCTTCTTTCCTCTCCTGCTTGATACCCGTTCCTGACCTTGGCTCTGCTCCTGATTTTTGCTTGCTTATGATTTGGTACCTCGCTGTCCGCCTGTTGAGAACCCCGGCTATTCCTATGACATTGCTCCTGTCTCCCATCCCAGCTTCCTGCCTTGCTCTGGTGCACGCCTGGTGATCTACCATACCAGCTCTGCATATCGCTACTGTTCCTGAATCGGTGGTTCATCAGTCTTTTAAGGACTCCAGCTACAAGTGCTTCAAACAACATCTGCTGGCACTCTTGTCCCCCTGGTCCCTAGACACTCTCTGTTCCAATTCCAGTGGGGTCAGGGCTAGTGACACAAGTGAGGCCGACCTCGTCATTTCAGTCTCCTATCAGGTACGTGACAACAGGAGATGACCACAGACTGCATACATAGTACAGGAGATGACCACAGACTGCGGACATAGTACAGGATGACCACAGACTGCGGACATAGTACAGGAGATGACCAGAGGATGCGGACATAGTACAGGAGATGACCAGAGAGACTGCGGACATAGTACAGGAGATGACCAGAGACTGCGGCCATAGTACAGGAGATGACCACAGACTGCGGACACAGTACAGGAGATGACCAGAGACTGCTGACACAGTACAGGAGATGACCAGAGACTGCGGACACAGTACAGGAGATGACCAGAGACTGCGGACACAGTACAGGAGATGGCCAGAGACTGCGGACACAGTACAGGAGATGACCAGAGACTGCGGACACAGTACAGGAGATGACCAGAGACTGAGGACACAGTACAGGAGATGGCCAGAGACTGCGGACACAGTACAGGAGATGACCAGAGACTGCGGACATAGTACAGGAGATGACCAGAGACTGCAGACACTGTACAGGGGATGACCAGAGGCTGCGGACATAGTACAGGAGATGACCAGAGACTGCAGACATAGTACAGAAGACCAGAGACTGCGGACATAGTACAGAAGACCAGAGACTGCGGACATAGTACAGAAGACCAGAGACTGCGGACTTTGTGGAGCGGGTACCCGAATTTGACAGGTACCCACTCCCACTTCTGCGGAGTTGTCCTTCTCCCTCCCTCCCCGTAATCTTCTGGAACACGTGACAGGTCCCAGAAGATTCACAAAGTGCATGCGCAGTGGGCACCTGGCTGTGAAGCCGCAAGCTGTCACAGCCGGGTGCCCATGCTGGCATCGGGAGAGAAGACTGATGGCACCGCTGGACTGAGGTAGGACCGCTGGAGATCTGCAGAGAAGAGCCGAGCAGCCTGCCGGGTATTCTAACACGGGGGAAATACCTGGCCGGCAGCTCCATATTCGCTCCATAAGACGCACAGACATTTTTCCCTATTTTTTGGGGGAAAAAAGTGTGGCTTATGCAGCGAAAAATATGGTAACTCCTAACCAAAAACCTCAAATGAATCCCAAAATTTAAGTAGACTATAATAGTTTGTGATGACTCTATTATAGTATAGTATAGTATAGAATCTTTACAAATAAACACTTCATATATATGACACAGTATTCCGAGAGCACTATAGGATAGCTAAAGAGCCATACGGTAAGAGATGAGTTATCCACTTCTGTATGTAAATTGCAGCTTGAGCTACAAAGCCTGTAACAAGCTGTAAATAGCGACACATAAAACTAAGCCTAAATAAATGCTGGCCCAGACAAAGAATGCTTTATATTAATATGAAATGTTTCAAACCTAATTAAAACATAATAAATAAATTGTGAAAATGCTATTTTATTTGTCCTGGCAATTAATGATGAGTGAATGTGTCTAGGTTAGGTTTGAGGGACCTTCTTCGAACCCATCAAAAAATCAGAAAATTGCAAACTTTATATTCAAACTTCACTGAAATCTATAGGAGGTGAATTCTAAAAATCATATCTTGTTATTTTCATAGCTAATGGCAAGGGATTGTCAAAGGACATGGGGAGCTGGTATGTGTACTGGCATGGGGACATAGCAATGCAAAAAAGATTTTTTTAAATACTGGGACAGGGTCCTCTTTATAATGTGCCTTCAAGGACAACATGGGAAAAACACCAATCTTTTAAATTACATGCTTGTGAGTTGTCTTTAAGCTGTATATGTTGTATGTGTCGTATTCTGCAATCACATAATTTGCATGTATAATATATTTTTTTTACTTTTACATTACTGCTTGCCTTAAAAACAGCATCAGGAGCACTCCAGTCTCATTCATAAAAACTTGAAAAAAGGCCATGCATATTTTGTTAGTTTTTCCTTACAATAAGCACAGATGGACGATATATAACATTTTAATAACATTTTTTTTTCCCTTCAAACTCTGGCAAGGATGACAATGCAACCTGGGTACTCCCATAACAATAAAAGTCTTAAGCCTATACACCCCTTGGTCCCTATGCAAATACAAAAAGACTGCTGCCCTTCCAGTTTGCAGGGGGGAGGGGCAGGCAGAAGCAACTAGAAGGGGAAATTCTATGGCTGTGTGGAAGGGCAGAAAAAATGTAGTTGTTGAAATATCAAAGGTTCTTCCCTAAATGTTTTAATGCACATATCAGAAAGCCAGTGTGGCCTAGTCCTGGGGAGCCAGGTTTTTTCACCTCACTAGTGGTGAATGACACAGGAAACAACGTAGTGGCTGACAAACTGTTTATCTTTTACCCCTTCCAAGTGCACAGCAGCAACTTGCCTGCAAGAGCTGCAAATGAGTCATTTCCCTCCTTCTCTTCAGGAATGCATATCAACTTTTTTTGGACTACTAATGCAGCCTCTTCCTCCTCCTCTTCCTCAAGGGTACATAGCAGCCATTTTTCTATTGGACTACTTTTTGTGGACTGTACTATGGCACTATACCACCATTATTTTACAAATAAGGCCATCCCTGCACTCTACTTGCATGTGGAATGCCATGAGGCAGCTGGAGGCAAAGGAGGAAGTAAGAGATTGGGGTGCTTTGTTAGAAAGAGGGGTGTTGCAGTGCTGGCAATGATTTTGGGGGCTTCAGAGGGCATGTTTCACCCCTTCCCAACACAATGGGAAAAAATGTGCTCTAATAGTATCCAAACCTGAAGTTCAAATCATTACAGATAATTATAAATTAGGAAATGATGTTTAAAACCACAACACCTCACCTTTAAAGTATAACTAAAGGCAAAACCTTTATTTTAGTTTTGGATAGAATGGTGAGGGATTAGAATACCTGTCAGTTTTTATTGCACCTGCAGTGCTAATTTTGCCATCAAATTTTGATTTAGTTTTAGTCATAGTCTTTTGACTAAAATGCCATTTTAGTTTTAGTTGTATTTTATCCCTCTGTATTCTTTTAGTTTTAGTCGTATTTTAGTCAACTAAAATCTCCAGTACATTTTAGTTGACTCTAATCTAATTTGTTTAGTTAAATTGTAAAGCATTATTTAAGCATTACTCTATAATTGCCAAACTCATAATATACTCCTGGAGTAAAAATCTAATAACATGTTAATATTTATGGTATTAAAGTCTGAACATGCACTACAGAAACAGATTTAGCCACTGTGATATGTAACATCTTTATAAATAAAACCAAGTTTCATAAACAACAAAAATATTGCTTTTTGACAAACAGAAGTGCAACTTTAAAATATAAAAAAAAAACCCAAAAACCTGTACATTGGGGAACGAAAGTTTGGGTACCCCAGCTAAAAATTTGTATTAATGTGCATAAAGAAGCCAAGGAAAGATGGAAAAATCTCCAAAAGGCATCAAATTACAGATTAGACATTCTTATAATATGTCAACAAAAATTAGATTTTATTTCCATCATTTACACTTTCAAAATAACAGAAAACAAAAAAATGGCGTCTGCAAAAGTTTGGGCACCCTGCAGAGTTAATATCTTGTACTGCCCCCTTTAGCAAGTATCACAGCTTGTAAACGCTTTTTGTAGCCAGCCAAGAGTCTTTCAATTCTTGTTTGAGGTATCTTTGCCCATTCTTCCTTACAAAAGTCTTCCAGTTCTTTGAGATTTCTGGGCTGTCTGTCACGCACTGCTCTTTTAAGGTCTATCCATAGATTTTCAATTATGTTGAGGTTAGGAGATTGTGAAGGCCATGGCAAAACCTTCAGTTTACGCCTCTTGATGTAATCCCCCGTGGATTTCGAGGTGTGTTTAGGATCATTATCCATTTGTAGAAGCCATCCTCTCTTTAATTTCAGCTTTTTCACAGATGGCATCAAGTTACCATCCAATATTTCCTGAAATTTTATTTTTCCTTCTACTAGTGAGATGTTCCCTGTGCCACTGGCTGGAACACAACCCCAAAGCATGATTGATCCAACCCCATGCTTAACAGTTGGACAGAGGTTCTTTTCATTAAATTCTGTGCCCCTTCTTCTCCAAACATACCTTAGCTCATTCCTGCCAAAAAGTTCAATTTTAACCTCATCGGTCCACAGAACTTGTTTCCAAAATGCATCAGGCTTGTCTATATGTTCATTTGCAAAGTTCAAACGATGATTTTTGTGGTGAGGACGTAGAAGAGGTTTTTTCTTCTGATGACTCTTCCATGAAGACCATATTTGTACAAGTATCTCTTTATAGTGGAATAGTGTACCACAACTCCAGTGTCTGACAGATCTTTCTGGAGGGATCGTGCAGTCAAACGTGGGTTTTGAATGGTTTTTCTCACAATCCTGCGAGCTGTTCTGTCTGATATTGTTCTTGGTCTTCCAGATCTTGCTTTAACTTCCACTGTTCCTGATGACTGCCATTTCTTAATTACATTCCGAACAGAGGATATTGACATCTGAAAATGCTTTGCTATCATTTTATAGCCTTCTCCAGCTTTGTGAGCGTCAACTATTTTCAGTTTCAGTTTTCTAGACAACTGCTTAGAAGAACCCATGGTGCTGATTGTTGGGGCAAGGTCAGATGAGTCTGGGCATTTAAAACCTTTGAGACTTACATAACCTGGTCTTCCCAGACGATGATTGAGAACAATCCATGACACTGGCAGGTCTCAGCTTTGCAAAGGGGGCAGTGCAGTGCATGCTAAAATTCTGCAGGGTGCCCAAACTTTTGCAGACGCCATTTTTTTGTTTTCTGTTATTTTGAAAGTGTAAATGATGGAAATAAAATCTAACTTTTGTTGACATATTATAAGAATGTCTAATTCTTATAACTGTGCCCCCGTTAGGAAGATTCAACTTCTCTATTTTTTCTGATTATCATTATCATTGAAAGTAAAAGAAAATCCCAAACTTTGGGTTGTCCACAGAAAAGTAATAAAGGGGAAATCTTCCAATCAGGTCACTAGTTATGGTGACCTGGGGGTCCCCAAGGAATTCTCCTAATTTGCAGGGATTTCCTGTTTGGCTATGGGACAGGAAGTGAAGGGAAATCTTCATAAAGGGACACAGATGGTGAAAAAAAATCTGACAAGGGTTATAACCCTCTCTAACGCTATCCAAAATGAATAAAAAAGTTTTTCCTATAGTTCTACTTTAAATTCAGTCTAACTCCTAGACCTATCCGTTATCCTGTGCTCAACCCCTAAACATCAAGTTTGATTTTAAACCTAAACTTTTAACCTGAACCTTTCTCCTTAATTTAAAAATCACCATTAAACTTTCCCTTAACCCAAAACTGGAACCTAACCATTATCATTACAAAAATAACTACAATTATACTATTGTCAATATCACACTAAACTTCAACACAATACAATCTCTGCAAAAATGACAAAAAGAGTACAGTGGGTACAACTTGCTTCTGGTAAAGCCCTTTTCTTTTTTTTTTCTTTACCCCAAACCTGTTCTTGTGCCAAAAAACATCCCTCCGCTATTAA